ACTAAGAATTATGCTTTTTTGCAGCTCACGCCTGAATCCACAGACGAGTGTAGCTTGCGCGTCCGAGCCGAGCTGAGTTTTAGAAATTCACCGTCCGATTTATGCCTCTAGGAGGAACGAACTTCGCCCGTTATAAACACAAGATTGCGGAAAATGGGTCAATTAATTTCCTAAAATTCATATCAAAAAGAAAATTTTTTTAATTGATTAAATCGTTTTTTGCAGTCAAGGCATTTACGGACTATACTTTTTTTTTCCAATAAATCGATGCAAAAAAAATTTAATGGAAGTGTGATTGGTTGATTTTAAAGTGGCTCACACTTATGCTACATCTCTTTTTATGACAACACTTACAAAAAATTGGGACGCACAAGGAAAGGTCTGGAGCGCTTAAGCAGCAAATGTTATTGCTTGCTTTCATCGCTTCGCATCATCCATCCACATCAGCACTAATAGCCCAGACAACGCCTGTGTCAGCGGAAGCCAGAAATAGAAAGGTCCCATAATATAATGCATCTCAGCTGCTGCGGGCCTCTCCTTTCCTGACAATGTCCCATGACAACGACACACGATGCCTACTTCATTTGGGATCCTCATCAGTGCAGCAGTATCAAGTTTTAACACATGCCAGATCCTGGAAATCGTTGAGTCTGACGTATGGAAGTATCCCAGTAAAATCACTCGCTTGCATTTCACACATCGATTGTCCGTGAAATCTTAGCGAGGCGGTAAACAATGAAGTTTCCATTTTTACGAGTTTTCTTTTGCATAAGTTTCTACGGAAACTACATTATGAATATTAGAACTGTCCACAGTTGCATAAATTTTTTAAGCGACTGAAACAAATTATGTAACTGGGTTTTCACAAACCTTTTTCTCGCTTATCCCCATCCTGATATTGCGAAGTTCTGTCTTTCACATAATTGCGATTTTATAACTGCATTATGGCGGGATTCTGTGCAACCTTGATTTTGCTTTGATTCATACGTTTGTATTTTTTTCGCTACGATACAAATAATAATATTTCCTTTTGCAAGAAATATATCACTTTTTTGTGTTCCGAAAGCCTTTTGATTCGCCAGCTAATAACTAATATGAATCAATTGTAACTGATATGAAACTTCACAGATGACTATTTAATTATCATTGGCAATAATGGTCGTTATGTGGACTACTGTGTGAGTCGAAATGAGGGCAAAAGCGCCACAAACCG